CAGTTGCAGACACCAGCTTTGACCATTCTAATATTGCGGACGGCTTAGCTTACGTATAGCGGCCAACAGAAGCAGACTCTGAGGCATCTATGCATATCTATGATAGACACACACTTACACAAGCCCGTCACAGTGGCTTTTCAGTCTAACAACTTGGCTTTACATACAACTGCCATATCATATCACTTCTTTCCTAGCTATTCTGAACTTAATACAACACCATTTCCAAACACCCCATCAGCTAATGCAAGTTTGAGTGTGTCAAATTTTTAATGTCAGTACTATTAATAGGAGGCTCTGAACACAGAAGAGGCCACTTTGAAAGTGATGGCATTAAAAAAAATCACTGCGTTAGTGACGGGAGAATATGCCAACAGAATCATCTACCTTTGTATGAAAGCTATAATGCAAAACCACATCACTAGTAGGCATGTTTTCAAAAAGGACACATTTTGTACTGGAGGACCAAGAGAGGGTACTTGCAGTGCATTATACAAATTCACACTGTTTGCTTTGCTTGCATGCGTTATGCAACCTTTCAGTGTTTCCTTCTAACTAGTGATGCACCGATGTGAAAATTGTGGCCGATACCGATAATGATATTAATATTGCTGTTATGGCCGATACCGATATTTACCGATGTCGATATCTCTGTATAGAAAACACATAGCGAGAGGATCCTCTTCAGACACTTTGAAGAACGACCAGACAGACGACATCGTTGCTCCCTCACCAAAGGCAAAGTTAAACTGACTTTGACTTTTTTTTGCCGCCTCCAGCACCTGCTTCAGCACATTATGTGACGTGTAATGTATGCGCTCGTGCAAAAACAAACATCCCCGCCCCCACACTCACATCTACACACACGTCAAATACACAGGAATGATTATCGGCCTGTTCACATCGGCCCTATTTTTACATCGGAACGATACCGATGTGTAAAAAATTGACCATATCAGCCGATATTATATCGGCAGCCGATATATCGTGCACTAGTACTTCTAACGCAACTGGGACTGACCTGAAAAGGTCATCAAAAAGAATTATAACAAAAAAAAACATTATAATAAAAAACAATATAAAACCATAACCATATACAAACTAGAGTGGAATACAAAAATGATAATGATAATGTTTGCATGCTAATAATAGCTAGAGGTTTAGAGACTAAAATCATTTATTTCCTTTAACATTTTGATTTCAGGTTTAATAATTTCTATTTAGATGTTCTTACCAAGACATTTCCATATCTTGATATTTGCATATTTAAAAAAACAACTTTCGAATACCAGCTGAGGTGAAATGTTTTCTCATATTCTCACTTTAAGCAACACCCTGTCTAACACATTTCCTGTTATCACACTGGCATTTTGACCATTAGGTATCATTAGTGAATGAAAAGTAATAATTCCATTTTCACCAATATCATGCAATAGCCTGTGGGGATCAACTGAGATTAAACTACGCACTTCCTGATGATGCTAGGCATTATTAAACGCACAAAAAAGCAAAGCGCAGAGAATGTGCGTACTGCCCAAAGACACTGAATGCCTCTGTGATTCTTTTCTGTATGATGGGGCTGTTGTGGTTGAATATGTCCTCCCTAAAATCTTTAGCGTAAACTGATTCCATTTAAATGGACCTTTTAGTCATAGAGGAAATGAGGTGGCTAGGAAGATAAAGGAAGAATGAAAGACTTTATTAGAAGGAAATTTTAAAAGGTTAAAGACAGCCCTTTCCTTGTCCTCTTTCTTACAATTGCTTTTCCGAAGCAGACTTTCATGGCTTTTGGAACAACAGCATTAAACCCTGAGGTGGTAAACCCCTTTATAAACAGGAGAACATCAGTGACACATGCCGCTATAATGAGTTTATTCATATACTATGAAAAATAATGCAGAGAATTAAAACCAGGCCTTCATTATAGATAAAGAGAAGCCATGGCAGTAATACATTTAGATATTGGTGCTTAATTATATCAAACACTGCCCATAGACAGTTTGATAACAGTGATATTGTGTTAATATGGAGATAGGACTGATATGACACTACATTGCTGATTGTTTTCATTCACAAAGTCTTTAATTTTTCATCATATAATCTATTAATTAATTATATTAGAGAGGTTTATCAGATGTTTCGCATGACATTACTCCAACACCAGAGCAAGGATCACTGAGCAAGCAAAGAAGGGAAACTAAACACTGACTTGAAGGAAGAATAAGAAAGTATTTACAAGTAAACCGCAGTTTTATGTTAAGCCTTTCAGAGCACGATGTCTGTGCTTGTGGAACTGTGGTGTCACACGCCACAATAGCAAACTACTATTAGGTTTCAGTTTGTGTCACATGATATTGAAACTGTATACTTGATTGGTCCCTCTAAGCCAAAATAGTTTTTGTTTAAGCTATTAGCCAGAACAGTGTGGTTGAACAAATGTTACAAATACACCGGTAAGTATATCAGACTACACAAGTAAACAGTTATTTTTATAAAGAGCACCAGCAAAATGTTATGCATGTTGATTCAAAGTTATTTATTAAACAATATCAAACAAAAACCAATATCAAATTCAGTTTAATTTTCCGAAAAAAAGGGGAAAAAAATAACTATACATGACATCTTCCCTCATTTTTCTGTTGGGAAAACTGCCAGTGTGTCTGCAGGGTACAGCTAGACACGTCTTGAGTGAAGCAATCGTGATCTAAAAGGATCAAAGCTTAATTTAATGATACAATTAAATTGAATGGAGCATCAATTAATGGACGTGTGGGACAGATATCGAAGGTTATTTGTTGCAGTTCTTCAGATGAAAAATGATGTAAGGTTTATGTATTCCAAAAGTCATTTTGTTTGCATTACTGGAGCAACATGTCTCCCATTAACAAAGCTTGTACACAATAGAGCACAGTATTCAGAAGTACTAAAGGTCTCTGACTCCACCCTGCCCGCTATATTCTGCCCAACTGATAAGACTCTCTGCCTAAATGAATTTCCTTTGACTGTAGGCTATACTCTCATTAGTAACCTTCCTTTCAACTATCTAGCATCAGATATCAAGAGTTTTTTTTTTCTTTGAAAAGGTCAGTTTATTTTTCTTCCTTTGTTAGCTTTCTTCCTGTCGTACCGGTGCTCCGCTCGGGTTTAATCCAACCTTGAAACTCTGAAAACAGCTAAAAAGAAAAAGTCTGTATTTGGGATGATTGGTGAACCATAGTACAACATTTTAGCTAAAGGTGCTGAGTGTAACTTGTTCGGGAAACATTTGAAAATTCTTTTTTTTTTTTTTTTTTTTGATTTAGTTTTCTATATTATTTTTACAAATCCATTTGGTGAGACTAGTGCACTGTAAAAGATTATATGATCAATAAGTTATGACAACATATTTTTTACATTGCTTTAACTCACCAAAATAAGTTATAAGTTAGTTATAAGTTTATAAGTTAGGCCTGTGCAAGATTCAACTCATTTTTTAAAGTCAGTTTAATGTAATTTAGGTTGAAATGACTTAAACATCCAAGTTGATTAAGGCAGCAACTTTTTTTACAGTGCAGAAATTACACGGTTAAAAGTGAATTATTAACCACAACACAGAAAGAAGAGAATCTAAACAAATGTTTTCCTGTGCACAAAAAGTGATCCTTTGCATTAGAGATACCTGTGATATGGGATGTTTTACTAAATGGACAATTATGCTTCTTGATGAAGAACAATGATACAATGATAAGCCAACGTATTGAAATGGATTCGTGCTGATTTTGATCTAATCCACATTTTAATGATTAAATTATTTGTCCATATATTCTGTGTGTATAAGCCCTTACTTTATGAGCCTTGGCTACTACCACCCAAGCAGATAAGCCACTGTGATTGACCAATTAAAAGGTATTTCAGAACCTGAGAGCATGAAGCAGAATGGAGACATGAATGGAGCCTCGGTGAGTGGCATCAGATAACAGGGTCAGAAAAATAAATGGAGCCCTGGGAGCTGTTCGAGTCTATTGAATGATCTGCAGATGAAGGCACTGGCACGGCAAATAATGAGGGCATTATTTGGGCACGCTGTAAAAGTGGCACAGATTCATATAACACAGATTTCTGCAGTGGTTTTAATTCGTTTTAATCCTGTACATGTAAAGGAAGATTCAAAAGAAAAAAATAAGTAATTGGGTAAATCATAATTGAGTTATGAACGAAATAGGATCTCATTTCAGCTGTTCTGTCCTGTGGCAGACGGGTGCTCAGACTCAGAGGAAACGAAGAGTGAAAATTGATATCAAATCTATCCAAATTCAATCAAAGTTTCAGTGCTGGATTACTTACTATGCCGTTATGCCTTTGTATGGCTGTAAGGATTAGTTGAAATTGTATAATAAGAGCTTAATTGAAGACTTAAATTAATTTTCTGAATTTTCAAATGCCATTATGATTTTCCAACCTTTTCATAGTTTTTTCCTCATTTGAATGATCATATTTAACTACAATTTTATTAATTTAATAATACAAATTTGGGCACTGCAATAAGACCCTTTAAATTAAGAGGAATTTCAAGTTTTGCGATACATTATGCTGTCAAATTTAACAAACGTGTGTGTGTGTGTGTGTGTGTGTGTGTGTGTGTGTGTGTGTGAGAGTGAGAGAGAGAGAGAGAGAGAGAGAGAGAGAGAGAGAGAGAGAGAGAGAGAGAGAGAGAGAGAGAGAGAGAGAGAGAGAGAGAGAGAGAGAGAGAGAGAGAGATGTGAAAGGCACAGTGGGTTTTATGTCCGCGTGAGTGTATGCATGAGATGCAGTGTGCTTGATGTCATCATGGTGATAGGCTGCTTACGAATACACGTTTTAGTAAATCAAATTAGCCGACTCAAAAGCTTAACCTCACGATTATTCGTATTTTATTTACAGCAAAATAACAACAACAACAGGCGTGGTCGCATATAACGCAGCGTATTCTAGGAGTGGCATATTGAAAGCTGTGCTGGTGTCCATACATACAAAAAAACTACCTTGTGTTTGCCTGCTCGATTTTTCCTTTCCTCCTTGTCGTGGGGCTCTGGCCACAGTTGACTGCTGGAGCCGTACGGGGGGCTGCTGTTTTCACCACTAGACACCGACGAGTTTCTCTCTAGCGCGCGCTCGCATTGATACGGCTGACAGAGTGCGATTCCCCTCTCCTGGTACCTGCCGTCTCGGTCACTCTGCTGCCGCTGGAGTCTGTGTTCCTGATGCTGATGCTGCAACAGCAGCTCCTGCTGGTTTCTGCACACTTGCTCCGATCTGCTGATGCAGTAGTTGATGGGCAAGCTGCTGCCCAACAGTAACTGAGCCTGAGGCTCAATTAATTGCCTCTCCTTCTCGGCTTCCTCGAGTGCATTTATCTGTCCTTGACCAGAGTTTGGCAAGAGTAGCTCAAAGGAGGGGTCCCTTTGTTGATTATAACAAGGTTGCTGCAGCAACTGGTTTTGGTCTCGACGCCCCCCCTCCCCGACGCCACGTTGTACAATCTCTTGTTTGTAATTAGCACTCTTTTGGCGCGTATCCCGCGTATAAGAAATGTGCGAAGGCAGAGGCGGCGGCAGCAGATCAGATGGGGAGGGCTGCGGGGAAACGGAATATTTCTGCTGAGGAGAATGGCTGCTCTGTGAGAGCCCCTCAGAATGACACTGATAGCCAGATGAGGCCCCTGGAAACGGATAGGGCTGGTTGTCGTAAGACTGACGGTCACTGTGCGCTCCCTGTGCGAGGATGCATCGGCCGGTCAAAGGCAGGCACTCGCCGTTCCTGGTGCCGCGGTCCGGACAAGACTGTACATGTCGGCTATGATGTGAGGAGGTGGATCGCTCCTTTATCGATGGCGGCGGGGGCGGCAGACTAAAGAGCGGGGCGACTGGACTAGATCCTTCCTTCTGACTGTCACGAGCGTCCGCGTCGTTGGTGTGCGGCTGGTGGACAGCTCCCGCGTGCCGATGCCGCATCCCCTCAATATCCGCGTCTTGTTGTGGTTGCTCCTTTGCCTTGTAAAGCACCGACACCCATTCATTGCGATGTGCCCCAAAAGAACCAATCTGACTTGTCTCATTGGTGGGCTTGAGCAAGACCTGCCTCGTGACGTCATCACTGAGATGAACACCGCCCTCGTGTGAAAACCGCTTTATGTTTACAGTTGATAAGATTAAACCTGAAATGTGAATTGGGTATTAGCAAGGTCATGCACGAGGCGAAAGCTGAATGTCTTGGCGGGATTTTCTTTTTCAAGCCTTTGCCATTGCATGGCAATATAAAAAAATAACGAGCATCACTTCACATGACAGGTGCACCGTTGTTATAAATTGGTTAATGTTACGACGTAAAGCCTGTGTTCAAACCTCCGCGTGCATAATGATAACGGAGGGCTGAGTGCAACTTGCAAGACAATAGTGAAGCAAAATCTGACGGGCATATTCAGTCAGGACGATTGCGAGTCTGATAATGCTGCTGTTCAAATTATCATGAAGTTTTAATGGGCATAGAAATTGATCAGTTTATAAGTGAATCAATTTAGAGAACATACCCAAAAGAAAATATTGCTCACAAAGACCAGCAAGAGTTAGCCTACAAAGATAGGCTAACCATTGAAAAGTATAACATTTGTATATTCACTTTAGAGATTTCCATGGAATATTATTTATAAGATTGTATTAATTTACTATCCCTGATATTTCCAGGTTTTCTGTCAACCCTGTTTTATATAACAGTATAGGTTCTGTAAACAAATAATGAGTAGCCTAACCTTAAGAAAAAGATGTTTGAAAAAAAAAAAAAAAACACTTGTACTTTGACTTCCTTCTCTCCAACAATCTCTGTTCACTACTCTGACTGACTGTTGTATAATGTGGAATAAATAATACTTAAGTTAAAGGTACAATATGTAAGAATTTTGTATCAAAATATCCAAAAACCACTTGCACAGTGTTATAAATTTCTTTCAATTGTGTACTTACATTATCCTAAATGTTTCCAAGAATTTGTCAATTCAGAGAAATTCACAATTTTAAATAGTGCCCATCCCCTGTCACTTGTCGCCTGTCAATGACGTAATACACGCGTTATCCCTGGTTTCCGCTTGTACTGCCATAGTAACCGTGGCGACAGACGTTGACAACAGCGTAACGTCTAGCGGCACCCTGTTGTTGTTTCGTTCAAACATTATGGACTATGGCAAGACTTTGGGACAAAAGGGGAAATAAAACGAGGATCAATATCGGCGTGCCGTTTTCGAGATGCTGAGAGCTCCGCGTCCACGACAAACTTCGACTTGACAGAGACGCCGCTCTTGCATAGGCCTGTCACGATTATGAAATTTGGCTGACGATTAATTGTCTAAAAAATAATTGCGGTTATACCGCATAAAAAATTGTCATAGCTATTGAATACATTTATTTAATATTTAAAGGTGTTAACTGTAATCTTACACTGCAAAACGATAACTTATAACGTACAAAGGATTAAATTCATCACAATTATTTAATGAATGAAGCACAAAAAAAAAATCTATGACAAAGCCCTAAAACAGACAATTAATTGCCAAAGCCCTAAATTTAATATACTGTTAAAATGCATAAAAGGATATAGATGTGTATTTCAATACCAAAAATACATTATGGTATATCAAAGAGATGGACACTGGAAAAATTACAAAAAGGTTTTTAGCAGATTCACTGCTGTCATATACCACAGCGATGTTTTTTTAGTCAGAATCGTTTATGCACATGTAAATGTGATTGTTAAATATTTCAAAACAGTTGTTAAATAGAATTTTTTTTTGTACTTTTGTGTCTTTGAATACATTTTCCACCTACACGCACTCGCAGCTTGTGCAATAAGAGGTCTCAGTTTAATTTTAAATCCTCAATCACTGAATGCCACTTCATCATCCAATTTCTGTGTGATAAAAGTCTACATTTCGCATGTTAGAGATAAAAGACTTCAAGCATTTTTGAATCCCCAGGTATAAATGACTTTCCTCAATAATATGATATCAATGATAGTTTACTGAGGACATCCCATTATGCTGGATGATGAGAATGGAGATGAGTGTTGGAAAGAGTGAGCATAAAGATGGGTTTACATTGTGAGGACCAAATGTCCCCTGAAATCACCTACAATCACAAAAAAAACATCACATGATAAATGGCTTACAGTAATATACAACAATATATTAAATAACTTTACACATTTTAAATTAAAATCTATAAATGCAGAAAGATTTTGTTTGAGGGTTAGGTTTGTGGAACAGATTTAAAGAAAACAGCTGTCATGGAAAGCCAAAAACAAACAAACATGCATGGACAGGCATGCCTTTACCAAAGAAACCCTGAGAATTTAGGCCAAATTACTGTGAATGAATAAACTGATGACTGAATAAAAGATGACAGCGCATTTACAGAAACTCATTCCTTGCAATGCAATAAAAAATATCAATACTGATATCAGCAAACTATAAAATGAAAAATTGTGTAAAAATTTAACTGTTGTAATATCTTGATGATACATCATATACCCCAATGTTTTGAGTATAGCTTTTTAGTAAAAACAAAACTTTCCAAATAATTATTTATAACCAGTTTTAGTCACGTTGTCAGATAGCAAAAGATATGCACAGTAAATGTCAAGGCATTTTGCGATCCATATCTGTATTTTTTGCACAATATTCTCATGCACCATTATTGTATTATTAATAGTACAACATACAGTGTTATACACACTGTTATCAAAAATATCAGTAAAATACAGCTGTGTACAGTGTTTAGTAAAATATGAATAGAGAAGAATTTATCAGTGAGAGTCAATTTACTATAGAGCATCCTAAAATGAAGGACGACAGCCTGCTTGCATGAAAAAGTAACCTGAATCTCTCTCTCTCACACACACACACACACACACACGTCTAATGATTCAAATGCCTCTAATTTGAAAAAGAATCAGGCAGACATTGCTGTCAGTTTGCAATGGACAGTATGCACAATTCAATATCCAGCATACAATCCCTAACGTCTGATTGACTGAGAGACATTACCCCTGAAACACGCACCACAGAACAATACAATCTATGGAATGTAATGATAGCTCTTTCAAGGATATTTTGAGGGGAAATGAAGGACCTAAACTGAGCCGACAAGAGTCGTGATCCACAAAGATTATTATAAATGCCTAGGGAGAGGACGAGAACCAGACTTAAATGCACCAGACAGCATGCTTGCTTTTTAAAACAGAAATTACATTGAATTTGCTCAAGCACATATTCAAATTGTACATTTTATGCCACAAAAAAAAAAAAAAATCTAGAGTTGAAAGATTTGTTTGTTAAAAATAGACGGCCTAAATGTAGTATTTGCATTGTTGCTTGAATCATTTAGGACCCTTTCAGCCTAGATCTATCACTCAAACTGGTTTTGTTTTTTTTAATTAATTTACCATTTATTATTTGCTTTTTGCTCCTTTATTAATGTTGCCGTTGTCACGAACAATGAGGAGAGAATATGTTCATACTGATCAGCTTGCTACTCTATGTAAAATAGATTTAGCTATCAATGCCATAGTCACCAAACAAAATAAGACCTGGCTTAGAAAGAGAAGAAAAAAAACAACAACCAGCAAATGTAGCCTAAACAACATATAAGAAAGAAAAAGAAAATCTTGCCAAATTTGATTATAAAACAAACATGTAGTAAAAGGCCCCTGAATTTATGGAGGGTGTCACATATTTTTTATCTTCCCTGACAAAGGTTGTCAGTATAGGCTATAAATGAAAGGGCAACATGAAGATAGGTCAGAATAAATCATCACAAAGATATGCTTCAAAGGCCTTGAGAAACCTTCTTTCATCACATCTGGTCTGCCATTTTAAGGCTAATACTAACAACCACATGAAATACCAAACGTGAGGCAATGAGCTGTGGCATTAAAACTTAAATGTCCAGTAAGTTACAGAAATTCCACTTTCTTACCTTACACTTTACACATCTTCATACGGATCCTTCTGAAAGCTCCTGACAATGACATCGGCACAATAATAATAATACAAATATATAATAAGATTAAAAAAAGAAGCACACGTAATTTCCACGACAAAAAAAAAGCAAGTCCACACAGACACAATTTCTCGTTGTGAGTGACGGTCTAGTGACGGGCATGCCCTCCAGCGCGTGAATATGCATGCGACCGATGGCGCGAGAACTCTCTGTGTTTCCCCTTCACTTTCATCTCCAGATGTTGAACGTTTACCTCTTGAAAGGCATCTCTAAACGGAATACAATATAAAACACGTCCACCGCAGTTAATTAGGCTACACGTCGTATTTAATTGAGGGGGGGAAAGGCAAAAATCCACGCGAAAGTGTGTTTCACGTGCAGCACACTTTTGGTTGCAACATCTACTGGACCGTCACGCCGTAGTATTGATCGAAGATCGTGAGAGGAGGGTTATATGACCTTGTGACGTGTTGTAAATTGATGGGGGGATCCCTGTTCTATTTTTAGATCTTGGTTGTTGAGAGACTAGCGGGGGTGGATGAATAGGGTGGGGGCTCAGGGGTTCCCGTGCACGCACAAACCGCAGCAAAATTGATCTTAAAATGATACTCATATGCAGCATTCGGGATAAAGGGATTCTTGCATATGGATGCAAGTGAGACACCATTTTGCCGTTCTCTTAAATCGTCTATTGTTGCTTTTACATCTCCTTGGTCTTTATAAATGCATGGTGATAATTAAATAACAAATAGCTACATTTTAGTACGAGGGCAAACATGTTTCAGCGATATAGTATGTTTGATGAAAGTAAATCTATTTTAACAAAGCAAAGATATTAGAATTTAATCCCGGGATATTATGTTAATGTTATTATGCTTACAATGTTGGATTTTTGAGTATCATTAGTCATTATAACATGAATCTGTGCTGATCATGTGCTGGTATAACAACCATAAAGGTTTACACACTTCTGCTGTGGACTCTATATTGCGCATACAGCAGAACATGGGCAGTGCAGTGGATGAGTGTTTGGAAACCAGCTCTACATCTCACAAGGATGGACATCTTGCATTTGTTTACAG